TACGCAGCATGCCCGTGAAAAAGGCAAGTGTTACCGAGTAGAACGTACTTTGAAGCGTTACGATTACTACATGCGGGTTTTCCACGTGTAGGGTCAGTACGGACTAGGTATAATGATCATCGAAGGAAAACACGCAGAGGTCGGCCAAGGTATATTCATCTCCGATATACAAGAAGGCAGCGCCGCGGAGCAGGTAATTACTTCTGGAACAAAACGATTCCCACCACTTGCTAATTACACCCAAAACAATGGCTTTGTCAGCGCACGACTGCATTTTCTTCAATTTACAATCGTCAATTGCATCTTTGCAGGCTGGCTTGAATGTGGGTGACATGATCCTGGCTGTCAACAGGGACTGCTTGTTGGGTTCGACCTATGATGAGGTACTTCTAGGTGTTCTAATACTGATCATAATTTTGAAATCTTCTACGTTAATGTTATTTAGAATAATCCACCTTATTTATTTTGAAATTTAAGTGGGTTACACTATTATTTGTTTCTATTTGTAGGCTACCAGTCTCTTGAAAAAGGCTGAAGGGGTTGTGACCCTAACAGTGTGCAATCCTAATCAGAGCAAAGTTGCGAAGGAAGAGGAAGATAGAGCAAAAGGCATTATTCCAGAACCAGAGAAAGGTAGAGATAACAATTTACACGATCTTCCACTAATTTCTTATAGATTATTTGTAGAATAGTTGTTAAATTGGATTGATCTTGATATTTTAGCTGCACCGAAAGAACCAGAGAAGCCAAAGGAACCCGAGCCACCACAAGATCCAAAAGATTGTAAGATACAGCCAGGAAGGGACACAACGATAGAATTCCAGAAGGACAAAGACAAGGGCATAGGCTTCACTATAGCTGGGGGCTCTGACACGCCATGCGTAAGAACAATTTCGTCCTTTTTAGAACAATTTCGTCAAGTTTACACTACTACTATGAAAAATGATTTATATAACACAATGATAATTTTAATAATATATTTGAATGTTTCAATCTGTCTGTTTGAAAAGTGTAATATTTATTAATAATAAGCTAACACGATGTTTCTTCGATTACAGAAAGGAGTCTTTATCATCGAGGTGTTTCCTGATGGAGCAGCTGGCAAAGATGGCCGACTACAGGCTGGCGACCAAATACTTGATATGTGTACCAATAGTTTCAAAGAAATCGAGCATGAGAAGGCACACGCGACTGTCCTGAAAGTAGCAGGAACTGTGAGTAATATTTCTTCCATTCTATACAAGATGAACCACATAACTTGTCGAACCGTATTATTTGTTTTTAATAGATCAATACGAAAGGTCAAGCAAAAATAATAATAAAATAATAGGAATGAACAAGTTACGTGGTTTGCCTTGAATATTTCTCACGCTAATTTTACTAACCGAATCTCTATTTGTAGATCACGATGGTGGTGCATCGACACGAGAAAGCGGAAGAAGAAATTGACGTTGAATTGCAAAAGAAATCCGGCAAAGGAGCTGGCCTCTGTTTGACGGGATACAAGAGTGGCAAGGGGGCATATGTATCAGATCTGGTAGGTGTCACAGTTCTTCATATTCATACACATAGTGCATCACTCTCGAAATTATAATATCTTTCTGAGTAATCATTTTCTGAACTCCTCAATCTAATACTCGTTCACCTGGAATAACAAAAAGTAATTTTTAAAAGAAAGTAAGGTTGTAAAAAGATAAACTTTGTCTTCATTTTCAATGAAAGAATAAACAAGGATCTACCTTAATTGCAGAAGTAGATGTAAAAACACGAGAAGAGTAGTTTGTCTTCTGTATGTTGAAGATTTTCACTACACATTGTGTTCGATACTTCCTACTGTTTATCTTCAATAACCTGGAGATCTTAATACACAGAGTGTATGTACTTCCCCGTGTTTATCTTCAATATACTGAAGATCTTAATACGCGGGATGTATATGCTTCCCTGTGTTTGTCTTCAATTTCCAGGAGATTCTTAGTACACATTGTATATATATGTTCAAACTGTTTGTCAGAAATATGGTGACAAATCGTAGTAATAAGATCCATATAGGATTCATGTAGGGTTCTCCTTCTATAGTACACAGAGATCATCAAAGGAGATTCAGTCCACATACACAATGTGTTACCTAGATTTCATTTATTGCTTGCTATTAATTTTTCTAACCATATACTTCTTACATCTTTATAGATACCTGGTGGTAGCGCTTTGGAAAGTGGGAAAATCTGCAAAGGAGACAGAGTGGTGGCAGTGGGTGGCACAGACGTTCGCGAAGCACCAGTCGAGGACATCGCGGTCCACGTGAAAGTCTCCAACCCGGTGCAATTGAAACTTGCTAGGTACACGTCCGCCAAGCAATGACAGGTAATTATCTCCAGGATCTGTTAAGAACTCTCGACGGCCCCACACCGGATGCGAGCAAGTTATCTCTTCTGCCAGTCGAACAAAAATACCTGTCCCCTAACTACACCTCATTCAATTTGTGAGAAAGTTTCTTAATGAATCAACCTCTATTTATTAATTGCAGAAGATCGTTTAACTCGTGTTTATTGCTGTGAAAGTGACGTACGTTGTTGTTTTTGTTTCAGGGTTCTGCAGGCGGAACTCTGAAGACGAATCTTTGGATGCGAATCCCCCACAGACACCGCGGACTCTAGTGTTACATAACTGACTATACCAAAGTAATTATAAATATAGGTACCGTTTACTATAAGTATCATAATTCTATGAAAGAAAAGAGAGGGAAAAAAGAACTAAGAAACCGGAGAGCAAGTCGATCGTATTAGTGATATCGTCTCATCGATGCGATCTACGTTCTTACTACGTGACAGACATTTTTCACGCCAAGAAACCATGAAACGCGACCTACGAGATGACAAATCGGAGCGTTTCGCGGCCGAGCAGAGGTTAATACGCGACGAACAATACAATTTTATAGCGACCCGGCGAATTGAAGCCTGTTCAATGCGATTCATCGACGACAAACCGCGTCGAACTTGTAAAGATTCCGTCTGCCATGATCAACATCCGGCATAGTAGTTGATACGAAAGCCACGTTATACCGCATACTATTTAGCGACGACAGAGTATTTATGCAGTTATAGAGAGTAATATTGTAACAGACGGGACTACGGTGAACGGCTTACGTGTTGGTAAAAAGGAGGAGAGCCTGGAGAAGGGTGACAGAGAACCCCCCCATACACTGAGGATGACTTGGAGGATCCCTCTACTTCAGATAGGTATTTCAAAAATTATTTTGGGGGTGAAGTATATGTTGAATTGTTTTGAAATTTTAATTGTGAATTTGTTAGGTGTTTTAAGAGGTTTGTAAATTTTTGTAGCTGTATAGTCCATGCACAGGGGCGTCTAGACGCTTTGGATTGTGAAGCTATGAGATGTGTCTTCTAGACACCCTTATGCTTCGAGAAGTACTCTCCAGAGCAAGCATCTTCAAATCATAAAAATGATTGTATTTCTATGTCAATTCTCCCTCCAAAAATGGTAGAGTTGATTCACCTCTATTTCCAAATCTTTTACAAAACAATTTATATCTTACAAAATAGTAAACCGAAAAGTAAGCCCTTCTTATTTCACACTTCCAAAAAGAATGTAAAAACAAAAATAGATATTTTGAGTTGTCGATGGTGAGGCGATCCCCTCGTGATGCTCTTCAGGGAACAGAATAGTTACGTGACCTGTAGCCATTTTCTCGAGTCTCCTTTCCTTTCGAGGCCAGTTCATCGTGTCTTCATACAAAACCAGAGATCTTGCTTGTACGTTTCGTATTACTTACGTTTAAGTTAGGCGTATTAGAGAGAATTAGGGGTCGCGTGATCCGAAGCGCGCGTCTTACCATCTGTGACTTTCGCGATGAAATTATGAGAGTCTTCGAGATCCTTCGGAGAGACTTTCGTGGAGAAGTCGAAGAGAAAAATTATGGTTGATTTCTAGTAGCACTTAAGGAACGCTCACGCTCCACATAAATAAAATATTAAATTGTTTCTACCCCAATGGAGACTATTATAATTTGTAATACTTGATGCTATTGAAATTTAATATACAGTGTAAACAAATACCTATATGTTAAAAAGTTAAATTGTAAATTTAAAAATTAGTTGTACATTTGGTTTGATTAGAAAAATTTATGAGGCAATGAAGCATAAGCTATATTCCGTTATGCTTTAGATTTCAATTTAATGTGAAAGATTTTGAGTGAAGTTTCTTGAGTGCTAGTGTAAATCAGATCGCATCTCTCGAAGGATCAACAGAGACCACACAAAGAAGATTCAAGTGATTCAGCTTCGACGAAAGCAATCGTTCGCGGAAGACTTGTTGAAAACACTAGAGCGGCTTGTTGATTGCGTGTAGTTCAATTTATCCTATTATCCTAGTCCTTAGCGTAGATTTTCAACGGGAGAGAGAAAGAGAGAGAGAGAGAGAGAGAGAGAGAGAGAGAGAGAGAGAGAGAGA